CCCCAAAACCCCAAAACCCCAAAACCCCAAAACCCCAGTACTTAGGGAGAAGCTTGAAGGAAGGTTTAATAATAAATTAAAGATGAAATCTAGAAGAGACCAGTTTGATACAAGTGAAGCTAGAAGTATAGCTAACACGATTGAGAAAGGGAATGATCAAGAGAGATTTATTGTAAGTTGATTTAGGATAAACCGGAGGGGGATTTGGATATTTTTTTGGGAGTTTAGATTTGGATTTTGAAGGCAGAGGTACTAACCTGCTTTTTGTAGGGGTTTAAGAAATCACCTGAGGGTTGCACATTGAAAATGTTTGGGAAAAGGTATCTTGCTAAGAAGGTAAATGGTCAGAAGGGAGAAAGGATTAAGAACAAGATTAACAAGCTTGAAGTTGAGGGGGATAAGCCAAAACTTGTATTCTTTGATTTAAAATCTTCTAAAAGAAAGAAAAGAAATCTGAGGTAAAATTTTTGGCATCACAATCACCAAATTATTAAATTTTCTTGAATAGATTGAAAAATTCAATAAAACTCGAAAACCTTCTAACTCATTTTTAGAGCATTTTTGGTAATGAAGAGGCAATTTTCTCCGGATTGAAAGCTCTCTCCTTCCATGAACCTGCTTACTAATGAGAGAGAGTTTGCTTGAACTCAAAAAGACCTTGGAAATCTCAAGCAAAACATATGAAATCTGATATCTCGCAGAGCTGGAGGTAATGAGCACCCCAATGAACAGGACTCACAAAGAAACACTAAAGTATAGATTATTTTTCATTTTCGCACAATTAGTTCTCATTTGTTCGATTTAACTTTTGTCAGACTTGCTACAAATTTTAATAGCTAGCTTTAAATTATGTACATAGTCACTTAGCCCTAAAAATTCCTACTTAGCCTATATACAACAAGAAGAACAACATTCTTAAGAAGGTCAAGCCCTTCATGAGGACCAAAAATATCGAAATTGCTCCAGATGTCATGGCTTCTTTGAAGGTAAGGAAGACAGGAGAGTTTTAGCTTACTTTTTGATCAGCTCGAGATAGTAAGAATAAGCATTTTAAGAAAACTTCATAACAAGGTCAAACATTGCAAATATTTAATAGACGATCATATCTTTTCTGAAGTATCCCAATAGCTCTAGATCTTATTTCTAAGAAGTACTTCCAAGTATTCTTCCACAATTTAGTATTTTCGTAGTAAAAAGCTCCTCTTGATATATAAAAGCTCATGAATTTTAAAAGCCTGTAAAGTTCTTTCACGAATTTGAGAGTTACTAACATTTTTGAGATGTTTAAACACCAAATCATGAATCGATCCTGCTTTAATCCGAACCGATTCAAGCATCACTACTATCTTTTAGAGAAATTTTAAGAGAGACTTAAACCTCTCATCCTATAAGCCCTAAAGTTTATTCCTTTTATCATAGACTTCAGAAATCCAATTACATTTCAATTTGTTATTAAGCTTACCTTTTTAGAATTTCCCGAAGAATTCAGATGATCGGTTTGAAAAACTGAGCGGTGATAAGAAGGTTAGCATCCGCCATATAAAACCCAGAGCTCTTGATATAAAAAGGTATGCTAGGAATACAAAGAGACCATCCAGAGCATTGTCCCCTACTTATGAGAAGAACTGTGATGAGTTGATGCTTCAGAACAAAGTCAGGACTAACGTTGTCTCCCCCTCCAATATTCTGAGACCTCTGCTTGGAAGTCTTGAACTCATGAAAGACCCAATTTTGAACAAGAAGAGGCTGGATAGGAAGAAGAAATTGGCTGATTTGATATCTGATGAAGAAATCACCCAAATTAGAGAAAAGATCTGGGCTAATATTCATAAGGATAAATCTGATGGTCTCTCTGCCTTCTCAAAGAAATAGGAGAAGTTAAAGAACCTGCTCAATATAATTTGTGCATAAAATTTTCATAAATTCAGTAAATTAAATTATCAAAAATATAACCATAGGATATTTTGGTGAAGATCTTCTGTACACTATTGTTATTACTTAATATTTATTGATAGATTAGCATATCTTCGATACTTTGACTGACCTAGGTCAGTCAAAGTTTAAAACATGCCTAGTTAGATATAAAATTTAAGTTTAGAAATCATCCAGTTTCCTAGACTCCACCATTGTAATCATTGGTCTGAGCAAACATTTTTAATATAGCAATGAGCCTATTTTTAGTTATTTAATTTTTAATTTTAAGATAAGCTCACTCATAATCTAGAGTTGCACTATCTCTGTAGTTTGGTTATCAGGATATTTGCTTTAATTTAAAATGGTGATAACAAACATGGAAAGCAACTTATTTGCTATGTTTCACCATTTTATTGTCAAGCTTCTTATTTTACCAAAATTCACTCATTATCTGATAAATAGCTACTGTTAATACGATATTATTGACTCAGTTCTGGTTTAGAAAGCTGGCAGCCACTTTTATATATACTCGATTAGTCATTTTTAACTGGATAGAATTTTGGATTACCAATCTATTTAAGAAAACACCTTCCCAACGGTATTTCTGGGAGTTTTTAGATTATGCTAGCTTGTATTAATAACCTTCCAAATCTGCCTCTCCTTCAGTGAACATTCCAAAATGCTTTCGGATAGTAAAATTTGATTGAAATCAGGCGTGCTTGTATTTTGAGGATCACCCATATAAGAAATAGTATTCTCAGGCAAGTAATATAAAATTTTATTCATAAGAAGGCATTAGGTAATAAAGTTTTGGCTCTAAGCTCCTCTCCCTTTGTTCATCATGATTAGTATGTAAAAACCTCTATTATCTCTATTCCTAATCTCTCAGCTCCCCCATAACCTTCATCCTCCCTTCACCATCAATCACTCATACTCCAAAATCCAAATTTCTAAACTTCTAAATTTTGCTATCCCACAAAAAAATCTCTGACTTCCCACCCAAAATTGCCCTCCCTTATTTCTCCCCAAATCCCACTCAAAAATTCCCAAAACCCCAAAAATCTTCTATAGACCTCCCAAAATTCCAATTTTCTCTACTAAACCTCAAAAATTCCTAAATTTTCAGTACAAATTTCGGAGCCTAAAAGCTCGGTTTTAACTGAACCCGTATTTTTTGTTGAAAATTTGCACTGTTTTTTAAGAAATTTGGTTAAAAATTAAGGGTTTTTCGAGATTTTGGGAAGGATTTTAGGTGACCAAGGGAGGTTTGGGGAGAAGAGGGGTTTTGGGGGGTTAGATAGGGGAAATAGGGATTTTTGGGGGTTTTGGGGTATGGAAGGTTCTTGTGTGGGTATTAGGTTGAGGGGGTTAATGCTGGGGAAGTTGTCCTTTGTGCGTGGATGGAGGGTATTGTGAGTATATTTGTAGATGTTTGGACTATGTCTGTGAAGAGGTGGGAATAGTGGAGTTTGGGGATTTAGGAATAGTAATAGTTTTAAAGAGGGTTAGTTAAATTCTTAATTTTTCTTTGAAGCAAAGGTAAAAAGAACTGACTGTGCTCAGTTTGTGATTTAGATCCAGCTCTAATGGTTCAGATAAGTCCTTTAGCTCAAGAAACTACTAAAATGTTATTGATATTAAAGACATCCATTTGGTACTATCAAACACTATAATGAAAATAGCTAGGTAAAATAGTTAAAAACGTTAGGCAATGGCCTAAAGTTTGCATCACTGAAGATGGAGTCTATCTTTTAACAAATGACCAGAAATGGTCAATGGTAAAACTCTCTCCAAAGCCCTCATAAGTCTCTAATATCTTAATTCTCTCAATTTTCCTGTTAAAATATTAATAAATGAGGTTCTCCAGCAGATTGATCTCAACTATGAAACTCATTCTTAATAAATTCAAGTTGGATAACATGTCATAATTAAAATTTGAAACAGACTATTAAAAATACTCAGAATTTAACAAATTTAAGAATTATCTTCATTAGTTAAAGCCATGTGAGAATCCCAGGTTCATTGGGAATTCTTTTTAAAAGATCATTTTAAATGCCCTTTTATATGGCCTTTTATATGGTATATGCCCTCAGCCGGACTCTTAAAATTTGAAACGGAATTACTAATTTGCTAATTCTCAGCACAAATTATAGAGAATTCACTTCCGTAAAAAGCCAAATTTTCCAAAATTCTCTCTCTAAACACTCGTTCCCTGACTGGGCCGGTTTCCTAACTAGCCAAGGTTGAAATTCTCTGCACTGGGTACTTCTGCAGGAGTGGAGTAAACCATTTATCGACATATTTATTAATAAGTCTTCCATTTCAGCATGGGGAGCTCCCAATGGGGTTTTGGGGTTTTGGGGTTTTGGGGTTTTGGGG